TCATCTCTTAGGATAGAAAGACTTGACCAATTTTAATAAAACTTTGCATGACCTAAGCTTAGGAAATTATAAGATAGTTGGCCAAGTTTCATGGTCATAGGATATATATTATAGAAACTAGGGTCATTTTAATATTGAAATTTGGATGTTTATTTTTGACGTTTAAATCAAATATTTTCAACTGTCAAGATTTTGGCCTAAAAAATTTAAATATTGCAAAAATTTGCTTTTTAAATACTCTTGAATATAATATAATAAGTATTAAAAGCAACGGAACACTCATTTGATTTATCAGATTTATCACAGTTATTCAAAAGTCAAATTTATATGAGCCTGTGTCTGAAAATAGAGATTTTCGAATTAAGGGAAGCCTTACATAAACATGCATTTTTTTCAACCAATTTGAAGTTTTTGAAGTTTTTAAACCATACATTATTCTTCCATATATATTAAATGTACTTTAAATGTAAAGAAAAGTTACAAAAAGCATACCTATGGCACGCCTGAACCAATTTTATAGATAATCCTAGATTATCTCAGATAAACTAGGATTATCTCATATAAACTAGGATTATCTTACTATTTTACATTAAGCTCAGATAAACTGGGATTATCTCGATTTTTTTCAGATAATCCCGGTTTATCTCAGAATTTTAAGATAAACCGGGATTTTCTCAGCTTAATGCATATTTGAGATAATTCATTATATTCCTCACAAAATTAGATAAATAATTAACTGGAGAAAATCCGGGATTATCTGAAAATTCTGAGATAATCCGGAATTATCTGAGAATTTTGAGAAAATCGATTAACTGAAAAAAGGTAGCCAATAGAAAGCCACGACACATTGGAGAAAAATTTCATGGTCATAAGGGATAAAATATAGATACAATGGTGCATCTATACAGATAGAGAAGAATGAAAGATTACGCTCTTACGGGAAACGTTTTAGAAGTTTTAAATTTCCAAATTTGATAAAAATAACAATTGATTTATTCAGGATGTACATGTATGACATGTGTATCGATAATAATGAAGATCAGAGGGATCTAGAATTTAGAAGTTTGTCTTGAGAGGTTTTTTTAAGAGAATTTGAATGTTATATCCGTATTTGTCTTTATGAAGATAGTGAAATATGTTACATAAATCTGGCTTCCGCACAATTAACTAGGACAAATAACTAAAATGTTGAAATAAGTTAAGCAAAGTTGAAATACACCATTTCGAAGTTCTAATGAGTTTCCTTTTAGAAAGTTATAATCTTTAAAAAAAAATATCACGCGCCGTTTTTCTTTCCTTAATTTTCCCTATTAAAAGAGTAAAATATGGTGCAGGAATTTATCATCCATTTATTGCAAAGTGTTACATTTTAGTACTTACTTGGTAAGTTGTATAAAGTGTTTGTTGTCAATTAGAAAATCTAATCATGATAATGACAAATGCCCAATACCTGAAATATTTATTACCTTACAACTCTGTTATATTGTTAATCAGTTTGTTTTTTAACGACACGTGGCCAATGCATAATTAACCTTTAAACAAACGCTGTTAAAACGGGGTTTTGATCCCTGAAGGACGCCACACTTTGCAATGAATTAGATCTATATTTGTTAACGTTTTCAAATTAAATAAACTGAATGGATTTCTTAAAATTCTCAAATGGCTTTAATATTATTACATACAAAACGAAACGTTTATTTAACATTTTTTGCAACTTTTATCTTTATTTTTGTTCTAAGAAAACCTTTCTTGCTTGGTTAACTAGTATGTGTTGATAACCTTCACTAATTACTAAAGATCAGACGACCTAATTGAGGATTTGTATAGACCTAATCAACATGATAATTGGTATCGAATATGATCATCGGTCATGCATGACATATTCCAAATAACGGCGCGTGTTAACAAACACTTCAATTTCTTCTGAAATATTCAATTAATTTTATTCAAACAAAAATATTAAGATAAAAAAATATATAATAATTTATCGGACGCATTCCCTCAACGCCCACTAAAATATCTATTACATGTCCTGAGTGCACTCAGGAGGCCCTGAGCGGTTTTAAAACGTACCGCAAAATTATTACTAAAAATAATTTTTGTTGACTGTTAAATGAAATACATTTCAATTCATGGAGTGTCAGTGAGTTATAATACATTTTACAAATGAGGGCCCAACTTTGGTAGTCCAACTTGAACACATTGAGCGATCGTATATATGCAATCAGGAACAGATGTATCCACGAAATTATATTAACATTTTATGAACTTGCCTGCTTAAATAAATCATGTTTTAGTTATAACATACACTTTTAATGTACTATTATTTATAAATCAATGTTTAAAATTCACATATATGTGCTAAGATTAAAACTTCATGTAATATTTTAATACTTTATTCTTGTAAAATTTTTCATTAATAAATACTGTTTAAACTGAGATTAAAATTTCATGTGTCATACGGTCATTCCAAGTGAATTCGGTCATTCGTGTTACGTATCTCCAGTACTTCTCTATGGATAAGAGCTAAAACTACCAAAAACAAGTTCACCAGAATTAATCGAAAACTTCCAGAAAAAGCTACTAATAAGCTTATACTCTCATTACCAACTTATGTAGCAGATGTTACTATCAACATCCTAAACGGAATACTACCAGTAGAAGCCCAACTACATATCCGAGAACTTGGACTATTGAACAATATCTGTAATCAGCCCGAAAAAAGCATAGATAAATTGCTAGCTGACGACAACTTAAACTGAAAAATAGCCAAAGTTCTAGTTGCGTGTCGCTATAAAACATATGCCCAAGAAGTACGATCTACAAAATGGTACATGGACAACACCGTCAAAAAAATATTATGGCCCTCCAAAATCAAGAAAACAGTACAGAGCTACTAGTCTAAGAGTAACTTCAGTAAATAGCAACACTGTATTCTAGCTTCGAAGGCCGTACGGTGACCTATAGTTGTTAGATTAAACATATTTTATTGTTCAAAAATGACAAATGGATTAGACACAAGTTTTTCAACTTAGTAACGTCTTCTCCTATTGTTGTCAATTTCTGTGTCATTTGGTCTCTTGTTGAGAGTTGTCTCATTGGCAATCATACCACATCTTCTTTTTAATTTCCAAAACGACGAGTGTAAAAAAAAAAGCAAATATGCAAACATACAGACTGATTTATATTTACAACAAACACAAAATGAAATACAGGAACAAAGTCTCAATGACACAATATGTCATGACGGAGGAAGGCACATGCATTTTTGGAAGGGGCTAAAAAAAGGTCTATAGTGCCAAACCATACCTTAAACTGAAACTGTACACATGGGATAAGACCGAAGTCAGAACTTAAAGTAAAAATTTGTTGAAAAAGGTCCAGGGTACCGTTTCACAAAGCCTTCGTAAGTCTGCGTGTCATCGTACGTTCATCGTAAATAAATCGTAGGTTTTACAGCCGTTTCTCAAAGCCGTCGTAAGTTAAGATGAGCGTAAATAATACGTACATCCTGGCGTAACTTACTACAGCTATACCCAGTCGTATCTCGATCGTAGTTTTTCCGCGAATATGAATAAAACTATATCTAAGATGGCTTTATTCTCGATCAAGATGCCGCAAATGTTAGAAGACGAAGAAGAATCTTCAATATTAGAACCACACTTTCTTCGTTTGATCATTTTGAAAATGAAATGGATATTATATCCATATACAGACTGGATAGACACAGTATCAATGAAATAACATTGGCAATAGAACCAGATATAAAACATGATACAAATAGGTCCCATGCACTTACTCCTGAAACGCAGGTTTTGTTAGCTTTGTGCTACTCACTGGTTCTCCGGTATTTAAAGCGCCCATTTTTTGACGCTGATTTGTGCCACCGTAACAAAGCAAAACTAACGACTTCGAGTTATATACCCGTAGCTTGTTATACTTATATCTGAGATTTTTATATTTCTTTATTATCTATATTTTTAATTTTTATACAGTTTAGTACATATTGCACAACGATAGTGATCGTACCGGCCGTCATAATGTTTTCTTCGTAAACCTGTAATTCCCGTTAACGGATAGAAGACCAAGCAAGACTAAATATTATGCTCAACATAGTGTGTGATATGAGTTAAATTTGATTATAAGGTTACCATAAATAATTTTGTTTATAAGGTTACCATAAATAATTTTGTTAAATCGTTATTTATTCCAAATCATATCAGTCTTGAAAACTAAACAAAGTTGAAAACTGCAGAGATTTGTTAAGCATGTAATCTCCGTGGTGGGTCTCATTGGGGTCTAAGCGTGACGCGGGATTGCCGATTTTTTATAAGCGTGACACGTGAAAGTCAAATTATTGTGCCGTGTAAACGGGAAATGAAGTCTAGCGGGATACGGGAAATTACAAAACAAGAGTGCACACGCTGAAATGTCTCGCCTTCTTTACTAATCATTGATATTATGTTGATAGTCCTAAATATAAAGCTTTATTACAACTGTCACATAAACTTAACATTAACCAAGTAAACTAAACATTGACCAATGAACCATGAAAATGAGGTCAAGGTCAGATGAACCATGCTAGGCAGGCATGTACAGCTAACAATTCTTCCATACTACACATATAGTTGACCTATTGCTTATAGTTTAAGAAAAACAGACCAAAACACAAAAACTTAACACTGAGCAATGAACCTTGAAAATGAGGTCAAGGTCAAATAAAACCTGCGTGACTGCCAAATAGATCATAAAATATTTCCATACACCAAATATAGTTGAACTATTGCATATAGTATAAGAAAAACAGACCAAAACACAAAAACTTAACTATAACCATTGAACCATGAAAATGAGGTCAAGGTCAGATGACACCTGCCAGTTGGACATGTACACCTTACAGTCCTTCCATACACCGAATATACTAGACCTATTGCTTATAGTATCTGAGATATGGACTTGACCACCAAAACTTAACCTTGTTCATTGATCCATGAAATGAGGTCGTGGTCAAGTGAAAACTGTCTGACGGGCATGAGGACCTTGCAAGGTACGCACATACCAAATATAGTTGAACTATTGCACATAGTATTAGAAAAAAAGACCAAAACTCAAAAACTTAACTTTGACCACTGAACCATGAAAATAAGGTCAAGGTCAGATGACTCCTGCCCGCTAGACATGTACACCTTACAATCATTCCATACACCAAATATAGTAGACCTATGGCATACAGTATAAGAAAAACAGACAAAAACACAAAAACTTAACTATAACCACTGAACCATGAAAATGAGGTCAAGGTCAGATGACACCTGCCAGTTGGACATGTACACCTTACAGTCCTTCCATACACCGAATATACTAGACCTATTGCTTATCTGCTTATAGTATCTGAGATATGGACTTGACCACCAAAACTTAACCTTGTTCATTGATCCATGAAATGAGGTCGAGGTCAAGTGAAAACTGTCTGACGGGCATGAGGACCTTGCAAGGTACGCACATACCAAATATAGTTGAACTATTGCACATAGTATTAGAAAAAAAGACCAAAACTCAAAAACTTAACTTTGACCACTGAACCATGAAAAAGAGGTCAAGGTCAAATGACACCTGCCCGCTAGACATGTACACCATACAATCATTCCATACACCAAATATAGTAGACCTATGGCATACAGTATAAGAAAAACAGACCAAAACACAAAAACTTAACTATAACCACTGAACCATGAAAATGAGGTCAAGGTCAGATGACACCTGCCAGTTGGACATGTACACCTTACAGTCCTTCCATACACCGAATATACTAGACCTATTGCTTATAGTACTAGTATCTGAGATATGGACTTGACCACCAAAACTTAACCTTGTTCACTGATCCATGAAATGAGGTCGAGGTCAAGTGAAAACTATCTGACGGGCATGAGGACCTTGCAAGGTACGCACATACCAAATATAGTTATCTTATTACTTATAATAAGAGAGAATCTAACATTACAAAAAATCTTAACTTTTTTTTCAAGTAGTCACTGAACCATGAAAATGAGGTCAAGGACATTGGACATGTGACTGACGGAAACTTCGTAACATGAGGCATCCATATACAAAGTATGAAGCATCCAGACCTTCCACCTTCTAAAATATAAAGCTTTTAAGAAGTTAGCTAACGCCGCCGCCGCCGCCGCCGCCGGATCGCTATACCTATGTCGAGCTTTCTGCGACAAAAGTCGCAGGCTCGACAAAAACCGAACTGGATGTTTTTATATCAATATTAATGCAAGTAAATAATTTTAACCCGTTTTCAATATTAAAGATCTGAAACTTTTATTATTAATATAAATTATACAAATAGTCATAAAAATTGCTCTGCCTAATGAGTTTAATAAATCATATTGCACAGGGAGAGAAGCTTTTAAATACTTTCATTAAAAATGAAATTACGACGTCGGCTGAGAGGGCATGGTATATATTGTCCGTTACATTTATTAACAACACCTTGTACAAATATTCTTTTCCATACTGAACTATTAGTTCGGTCAAGAAAGACAACTCGTACTCAAACTAGAGGCTCTAAAGAGCCTGTGTCGCTCACCTTGGTCTATGTGCATATTAAACAAAGGACACAGATGGATTCATGACAAAATTGTGTTTTGGTGATGGTGATGTGTTTGTAGATCTTACTTTACTGAACATTCTTGCTCCTTACTACTATCTCTATCTATAATGAACTTGGCCCGGTAATTACAGTGGAAAATACTTTGTAAAAATTTACAAAAATTTACAAAATTTATGAAAATTGTAAAAAATTGACTATAAAGGGCAATAACTCCTTAAGGGGTCAATTGACAATTTTGGTCATGTTGCCTTATTTGTAGATCTAACTTTGCTGTACATTATTGCTGTTTACAGTTTATCTCTATCTATAATAATATTCAAGATAATAACCAAAAGCTGCAAAATTTTCTTAAAATTACCAATTCAGGGGCAGCAACCCAACAACGTGTTGCCTGATTGGTCTGAAAATTTCAGGACAGATAGATCTTGACCTAATGAACAATTTTATCCTCATCAGATTTGCTCTAAATGCTTTGGTTTCAGAGATATGAGCCAAAAACTGCATTTTACCCTATGTACTATTTTTTAGCCATGTCGGCCATCTTGGTTCGCGAGCGGGGTCATCGGACACATTTTTTAAACTAGATACCCTAATGATGATTGTGGACAAGTTTGGTTAAATTTGTCTAAGTAGTTTCAGAGGAGAAGATTTTTGTAAAAGATTACAAAAATTTACGAAAAATGGTTAAAAATTGACTATAAAGGGCAATAACTCCTTAAGGGGTCAACTGACCATTTTGGTCATGTTGACTTATTTGTAGATCTTACTTTGCTGAACATTATTGCTGTTTACAGTTTATCTCTATCTATAATAATATTCAAGATAATAACCAAAAACGGCAAAATTTCCTTAAAATTACCAATTCAGGGGCAGCAACCCAACAACGGGTTGTCCGATTCATCTGAAAATTTCAGGGCAGATAGATCTTGACCTGATAAACAATTTTACCCCCTGTCAGATTTGCTCTAAATGCTTTGGTTTCAGAGATATGAGCCAAAAACTGCATTTTACCCTATGTACTATTTTTTAGCCATGTCGGCCATCTTGGTTCGCGGGCGGGGTCATCGGACACATTTTTTAAACTAGATACCCTAATGATGATTGTGGACAAGTTTGGTTAAATTTGTCTTAGTAGTTTCAGAGGAGAAGATTTTTGTAAAAGATTACAAAAATTTACGAAAAATGGTTAAAAATTGACTATAAAGGGCAATAACTCCTTAAGGGGTCAACTGACCATTTTGGTCATGTTGACTTATTTGTAGATCTTACTTTGCTGAACATTACTGCTGTTTACAGTTTATCTCTATCTATAATAATATTCAAGATAATAACCAAAAACGGCAAAATTTCCTTAAAATTACCAATTCAGGAGCAGCAACCCAACAACGGGTTGCCTGATTGGTCTGAAAATTTCAGGGCAGATAGATCTTGACCTAATGAACAATTTTATTCTCATCAGATTTGCTCTTAATGCTTTGGTTTCAGAGATATGAGCCAAAAACTGCATTTTACCCTATGTACTATTTTTTAGCCATGTCGGCCATCTTGGTTCGCGAGCGGGGTCATCGGACACATTTTTTAAACTAGATACCCTAATGATGATTGTGGACAAGTTTGGTTAAATTTGTCTTAGTAGTTTCAGAGTGGAAGATTTTTGTAAAAGATTACAAAAATTTACGAAAAATGGTTAAAAATTGACTATAAAGGGCAATAACTCCTTAAGGGGTCAACTGACCATTTTGGTCATGTTGACTTATTTGTAGATCTTACTTTGCTGAACATTATTGCTGTTTACAGTTTATCTCTATCTATAATAATATTCAAGATAATAACCAAAAACGGCAAAATTTCCTTAAAATTACCAATTCAGGGGCAGCAACCCAACAACGGGTTGTCCGATTCATCTGAAAATTTCAGGGCAGATAGATCTTGACCTGATAAACAATTTTACCCCATGTCAGATTTGCTCTAAATGCTTTGGTTTCAGAGATATATGCCAAAATCTACATTTTACCCCTATGTTCTATTTTTAGCCATGGCGGCCATCTTGGTTGGTTGGCCGGGTCACCGGACACATTTTTTAAACAAGATACCCCAATGATGATTGTGGCCAAGTTTGGTCAAATTTGGCCTAGTAGTTTCAGAGGAGAAGATTTTTGTAAAAGTTTACGGACGACGGACGCAGGACGACGGACGCAAAGTGATGAGAAAAGCTCACTTGACCTTTTAGGTCAGGTGAGCTAAAAAGGGAGGTAACTCAATTTTCTTATAAAGGGAAACGAGTTTATCAGTATTTCCGAGGAACATGTTTATTTTTGCACGCCAACTTGTGTACATAAATAATTAAATATCGGATCACAACAGGTTTTGAATGTTTGATGATCGATATCCACGCTTAATTCCAATAGTATAATAATTTGTAATCTTAATAGGAAACCGAGTTTAGAATCAAATTAGAATTATTACGGTTTATATATAATAATTTCAATTAGTTTTTATTATACGAGATGCGTATCTATTGTAAAAAAATCTTTCTTAATCTTTGAACATTTTTCTAAACATGCAAATTCTGTTAACAAAAATAGAAGTATTTGATTTTATAAGACAAAAAAAAAAAAAAAAGAGAGAGAAAAAAAAAAAGAGAAAAAAATAAAGAAGAAAAAAAAAAAAAAAAAAAGAAATCTGCCCACCTAAAATATTGAATTTTGCCATGTTTGGTTTTGAATGACTATATATATTTTGATTCTCATACAGACAATGCATGACATCGGTACAGAGAAAAATTATAAACTCATATTAACTCAATTTAACTATTAACGAACTTAGTGAAATGTTTGCTTCTTTTTTCATCTTTGAACTGCAAGATGGCGAAATGCATCTAAGAAATCTAACAAATTTTGCAAGTTTAAAATAGAGAACGATTTAAAACAAAATTGATTTCACTTCTTCAATACATGTGGTATACATAACTTTGGCCACTAATAATAAATAAAAAGTATTATGTAATCAAATTTGGTTAAATATCTATTTCAAGTTTATGATCTTTTATATGTAAAGGTAGTAAGATAAATAAACAGAATTAACACCTTTATGTTATTGCTTCGAAAACGATGATGTCCTACTGATTTTATGGCCATCATACTCATACTTATATTCCTTAGTTTTAAGAAGACACATTTAACCAATTAATTGTATGGTGTGTTATAACTTTGGATATCAAAATAAAGGTAAATACAGAAAAGCGCTTTGGACGCATCAAAATCATTAAGTGATATTGTCAATGTTAGACATGAATCCCAAAGTTTTTTCTAATTTCATTTTACATTTTAGCAGATATAATAAGTACAAGTTGATTCGAAAGACTGTGTCATGACTAAACAATTGCAGAGATTGTTTAAACACTCTTTTTTTAGTTAGGCTAAATTCCTTTATAGAAGTTAAGCGGAACTTAACCTTTTTTCGCTTATATTTCAATATCTCAACATCTCGGGTAACTTTTCCCGTTTGTGCATCCAGATAGTACCACCGTGTCCTTTAACTATTTTTTGATTTAAAACACTCAGTATGTCCACATTCTATGACAAACACTAGCTCGTGGTCTTTATTCAATACCGTTTGAATTCAACTCTTTTTCTAACCTTCAGCGCACCCATCGCACATTCTTTGAAAGATCATGTTAAGCGTGATAGAACAGTTTAGTGTTGTTATTGATTTATTCAGTCGGTTGTCCATTGAATTAATACAAGCTTACCATGAAGGGTTGAGACATAAAAAAGAATGAACAATTTTAATGTGAATGCACCTTGAAATACAAATGAGAATTTATTTCATTCTACTGCAAAGTTTTCGGCATCTAAAGGTGCAAAAGAATAATTTTATATCATGCGCGGATATGATTGACGGATTTGCTTGGCGTCGAGTGACAAATGGTTCATGCATATTCGGAACGAGAACAAATCAACAATAATTCAATAAGTGGAATGACTAGGAAGAACACGATGAAGAACAGAAATTTCGAATGCAACTCGAAAATGATTTTTTTGCCATCAAACCCCTGGAAGAGTTGTTGCAAGGGTATATATATATGCTAACGTAAAGGAGATGTGGCATCGGACGTGGCTGCGTGTTTATACATTCAGCACAATGAAGCGAATATATATAAGAAGATGTGGTATGAGTGCCAATGAGACAACTCTTGTATTTAAT